TGATGACAAAGCTGATTCAATTAGAAGTATCAATACTCTTTATATATATATATATATATATATATATACATAACAAGTAGTTTAACTTATAAGTGAAATGGATAAAAAAAAAAAAGGCACCACAGATTTGAGCTGTTAGCACGAATGAGAAATTTTCTAACGTTTAGTGCAAACCAGCTGCCCTGGATTACTTTCCTCTTTTCCCACTTATTAGTCCTACTAGTACTCAAAACTTCATCTTCTTCTTCTTTTAATCTCCAACTAGCTATTTGGACGCCTTCATGGTATCATAAATGATATAATTTTAATTAAAATTCTAATTATTTATAGATACCATCAGTGTTTTGGAGGCGTGCAGTTAAAAAAAAGGAAAGAAATTTAACATAATTAGAGTCTCCTTACAAGTTTAATAATAAATGCAACAACAACTAATACTTATTAATCTGAGTAAAAAAAATTAATTTTTTTAAAATAAAATTTTAAATTTGACTTTTATAAATAAAAAAATAACATTGAGAGAATTTTTTTTATGAAATTTAACACGATTCAATTTTAAATTTGAGTAAAAAAAATTAATTTTTTTAAAATAAAATTTTAAATTTGACTTTTATAAATAAAAAAATAACATTGAGGGAATTTTTTTTATGAAATTTAACACGATTCAATTTTAAATTAATTAAAATTTAGTATAATTATTAAATATCAAAAAATTAATAAAAAAAAATAAATGCAATAACAATACAAATGCTTAATTAGCATTAAGTCATTAACTATTTGAAATGTTTTAATATCTCAATCAACAGGTGAGTCTACAGGTGACATTTGAAAAGAGTGGAAAACGAGGTTGGCGTAAGCTCTTAGAATTGAAACCACTTGGGGCCATTCTTTAATGCCTCAAACCAATCCACAGCAATACCAGTCAGCCAACAGTTTGGCTTGGCAAAATGTCAACGCGTCCAACATATACCACCCAGATGTGTATATATATATATATATATATATATAACCCCAACCCAACTGCCCTTTACGAGTTGTACTTTGCTTCCTTTCCTTTGCAACCAAAACACAACAACCTGTTCATTACCTATTTTAAAAAAAAAACACAACAACCTGAAAAAGACGAGGAACAACAGAACAGAACCGAGATGAAGCTAGCTTGGTCCCCGGAGGCTGCATCCAAAGCCTATATCGACACCGTTAAATCTGTAAGAAACATATCGAGACATTTTAATCACGTTTTCTTAGTTTTCCAACTTGGGTTTCCATTATATTGAATATTTCGGGTCTTGGTTGCTGCAGTGTGATAATTTCCTAGAATCAGGCGTGGCAGAGCTTATTTCAGCCATGGCTGCAGGGTGGAACGCGAAATTCATTGTGGAGACGTGGTCACAGGGAGGAGCTACGGCAACTAGCGTTGGCTTGGCAACGGCCAGCCGTCACACGAATGGAAGACACGTTTGTATAGTCCCGGATGAGAGGTCGAGGACGGAGTATGTACAGGCTCTGGGAGAAGCCGGTATGTCCCCGGAAGTAATAGTCGGAGAGCCGGAGGAAGTGATGGGCGGGTTAAATGGTATAGATTTCTTGGTAGTGGATAGCCGGCGAAGTGAGTTTGCTAGGGTATTGAGTCAGGCAAGACTGAGCAACAGGGTTGCAGTCCTGGTGTGCAAGAATGCTAACTTCAAAGGGGCTTCAAATTTCCGGTGGCGGAGCGTTGTAGATGAAGGGTCACGGCGGCTTGTTAGATCGGTTTTTCTGCCGGTGGGGAAAGGACTTGATATTGCACATGTAGATACCAGCAGTGGAAATTCAAGTTCAGGCAACGGTGGGAGGCGGTGGTTCATCCATGTCGATCAGCACTCAGGAGAAGAACATGTTATCCGAAGATAATTAAAGTAGTAATTTCTTTTGTTAAGGAAGAATACTGTTTTTCTTCTGATGTACATAAATTTTGAAGAGTAATTTTTTTTTTTTTAAATGAAAGAGAGAAAATTGCTTCTTCTTCTTCTTTTTTTTTAATTGATGAAAAAGATTTAATTCATCAATGGTTAACAAGAATTCGATTTTATTTTTACGTGGCAACATTGCAGTAAGGCCACAAAGAAAAAAAAGCAAAAAAACTTGTAAGTACCATTTCAATTCCTTTTCCAGTTGGTAGAACAAATGAACTCTCGACATTTGTTTTTAGATCGACCAAAGAAAATTGGGATTTTTCGATGGAATTTGGCCTTTGTTTGCTGTAAGAGAGAGAGAGAGAGAGAATGATAAAGATTAGACAAAGCTGTAACCCTAAAAATGCGCCTGAGAGATGTATAAATCTTTGTCAAAATACACATGAATGTAAAAACAAATATTATTGGATTAAGCACCTAAGCCTCACGGTTCGATGGTTATAAATCGGCTTGTAAGATGCATCCCTCAGTGTGAAGACTGGGTTCGATTCTCCCATTCCCAAAATTGTAACCTTGTTCAAAAATATATTATTGAATAAAAAAAAAAACTTGAGAATTAGACTTTAATTCAGAGATAGAATCTAGTCATGTTTAAATATAAAATCTCTAGAAAAATAAGAAAATGATTTAAA